AAGCCTCTGCCTGCCTCCATAGCCATCCCATCAAAGCCTTCTCTCTCCAACAGCAACAAAGCTCTCCTCCTCTCTAGTTCCTATGGCCAACAAAGAGATCGTCCCCTATGGTTTTGATCCTAGCAAGAAGCCCAACATGCTTGCGCTGGCCGTCATTCCTCTAGAAGTTACCCCCATTCGCTCAAGCCAGTCTTACTTCGCCCATGCCATTTGTCGTCTGGTCCTTGTTCCACCACCGCCACGTCCACTTCTTGAAGGCAATCCATGCCAACAAGAGCCTCGTCTATACATCTAGAAGCTGATCAAGGTGACCAAGGAGATCAACATCCTTCCTCCGAAGGGACACGAGGTGCTGACCAGAGTGAAGACCAACAAATTTGGAGACGTTACATGTGCAAAATACAAATCAGTCACCCCTCATACCACCATTGATGGAGTCCGGGCTATGCCGGATCAGATCAAGGTTGTTCCTCCAAAGGAGAAGAAGAGGAAGGCGCCATCACCACCTATCCCAAAGGCCAAGAAGCATCCAAGGATGACTATTGCTCTCTTAGTGAAGAAGATTGAAGACCTCTCCGATGTTATCTATACCCTAGAGCAAAGGATTGATGAAGAAGACATCTATCGCAAGAGCCTACAACATGACCTAAATGCTTTAAATCATTTTGTTGCTAAGATGAAGAAGTGAGAATTAGTTAGTTAATAATAAGGCACGAGTGTTAGGTCGAGTGTTTAATGTTTAGGTTACTCGCTTAGCTCAGATTGTTAGAGTGATTGAAGTTTGTGTTTAGGTTGGTTTGAGTAATAAAGTGCCTTATGATATTAATGGAGTCTTAATATTATTTGTTCTCTATTTCTTTTGGATATGTGTTTTGTCTCCACATGTTGTGCATAAAGGTATACAGGAAAACAAGTGTGGAGGGAGACACACCGTGACAACAAGACGGAATTCGATCATGAAAATTATGAAATTCAAAAAGTAATAAGCGAAGGACCACGTCCTACGAAGTGGGCCTCGCAGCCCCTAGAGTGGGCCGCCTGGCCTCCTACATGGGCCGACCGACCCACCACAGCGCCGCCTCGCTTCGTCCTTTGTCCACGGTCAGGTTTGCGGCCCATTCACTTTATTTTCACCTATTATGCTTTCCGTTTCAAACCAAATTGAGAATCCTTTGATAAACAACTTTAAAACATGAGGAAAGATTATTTTAGTCATGACTTAAGGATAGACTCATATAATACTTTTCTTGGAAGTCTTGCTACTCTTGGGAACCTATTATTAGGGACCCCATGTTACTTAAGTTGTTATGGAATGAGATATAGTAGAATAATGAGAACCTGATTCTTGATGTTTCGTTATTGGAGAATTTTATTTCAAAAAAAAGAGGTAAAAAGAATAGCTATACCTCTCCTTTGTGGTAAGCAATGTCCTACCAGAGCCAAATATAGACTAGAGAAACCTTCTATATATACTACTTGTCATTGTATTGAGTTTGGTCAAACCTTGTGACCCTTGTTGAGAAACTTATCATGCTCTCAAGATCAATATCACGTACACTCCACATATATCTGCTGCTCCTACACTGGGAGTATGCAACAACGTGTTTTCCATCCACCTAAAAATGTTCTACTCCTACACTGGGAATAGACACAAAAATATGCTTGATAGGATAAATGCTTCAAGTTCTTGTAAATGTCTCTCTTGAAATGTTTCAATTGCAGAAAAAAGAGAGGCATGGGCTATGCAAAAGTTATTCAGAAAAAAGAGTATAGAAAAATGGACAAGTGTCTGAGATATTAAAAATGATGGGTACTCAGATGCCCGCCCAAAAAAGGAGAGAGATGAATAAGATAGCCCATGTTTTCTTGCAAAAGTTTTTCAAGTTTCAAATAAGAGAGATATGTTTCAAAGAGCATAATAGAATTAGGTTAGGCACCATATACATATCCACACACATGCACATCTTGATCAAAGAGTATGATATTTTTCTCCTCAGATCCTCGTTTTGACTTTACAATATATGCAATGCAAGTATGCTCTAATATTCATCCCTACCTAAGCTCCACATAAGCTTTTATAAGTAGGTAAAAAGAAGGCAAAAGTCATTAATGCCTTGGTAAGGATCCAAAAATACCATATATACAGAGTGATTTGAGAGTACTACAAAAGAATAAGGTAAGCTATGTTTTGTTTTCAAAAAAATCTTAAAATGTTTCTCCAAATGACTTGACTGAAACTTTGGGTTGTTTCATTTTTCAACCACCCAAAGTTTCATGGTAGACACTTTGAATCCTGCAGTGCATGCATGACTAGGAATGGTTTTATGTTGATGCCTTGTCCTAAGGTTATGTCTTAAGTAATCCATCCTTTTATCGAGGACGAATAAAAGCCTAAGTGTGGGGGAGTTTATTGACGATAGTTAACATTCATCAAAAACCATCGATATAACTTGTATAAATGGCTAAAATGGATCACCAATGTAGACTTAGGGGTTTAAACTGACAAATTCCACAAGTTTTGGTGAATCTGTGTTTTTAGCAGGATTTAATCAGAAAACCGCTAAGGAGGACCTATTCGTCAAAGGAAATTATGGAATTCTGCCGCATAATCAATGTGGGAAGACTCTAGAAGACTCCAGAAAGTGAATCACCGAAGCAGAGCTCGTGCCCCTGACATGTGGGGTTGGCCGGTCCCACTTGCAGGCCGGCCGGCCTGTGAGCCCCCCACGTCATCCTCCCGTTGCTATGTCGGTTCTCCACCGCCTTAAGGATTGCATCTACGCCGTTTATTCAAGCCAGTTTGATCCGAGGGCTTAGGATTGATGCTCCGACCCATATATACCTGCCTGCACCCCCATCCAGAGCAGATACCTCATTTGATCCTAAGAGCTGAGAAGCCAGAAACCCTAATTCATAAATCCACCAGGATCAGAGCTAGCAATCAAGAGAAGATTAGTCCACAATAGGATCTAGTCTTGTATTAGAGATAGTGAGATAGTGTGAGAGGGAAGAGTTTGGAGGAGTCCTGGCCTATCGGTGCTCTCTCTATGGCTTGTACCCTAGCGGAATCAAGTTCTTCTTGAGCTTGCTTCTGAGATTTCTCTGGTAATCAACTTCTAATTCAAGTAAGCATCTTGTTTATATTGTTCTTCAGGTTTGCGGCTCTCTTTTGAGTACTTTAATCCTTGTAGCTCTTGGGTTAAAGTAGTATTCGTAGTGTAAGCGTGGTGCTTAGGCTCAGTTACTCGTGGATGTACCCTATTTTCTGGATCAGTGGTAGCTCACGAGGGTGACTCTTATAGCCTCGTTGAATCCTCTGTAGTCCACCTCCCGTTAGTAGGCCTAACAGGACATTGTTGCTATAGGAAACATACTCTGCCTGTGTTTTCTCTAGTAATATCCCTAGAATTGAACAATAGAAGACAAAGCTTATCAAAGTTAGAACTAGAAGACCTTAGCAGTCTCCTCTACGCTCCTATTATCTAGCCTTGATTGTGAAGTTAGGATAAGTTAGATTTGGTTATTCTCACACGCGTTTCCTCAAGTTCGATATAAAACTGGGTACTCCCAGTGAAGTGCTACATCGGTATAATATCCATGCGCTTGCGGATTATTCTGTGTGCATTAATTTATATCAACAAGGGTCTTAGCTAACTTGGTGTCTCTAGTAGGAGCATCCGCCGCCCGAGGAGCCAGATGGTTCGGATAGCAGCAAGGCCAGGACCAAGCGAGGTGTGTCAAAGCCTCCTACTGGTAGGAATGCACATGGGCACGTCTCTGAGTTTGACCAAGTCTAGGAGCCGGTCAGACCGTGTAAAGTTTTGGGCAAATACAAGACTATCCTTGGGGCACTTGTAAGGGACTACATCCTAATTAAGTACAGGAAGTGAATTGGGAAAGATGATAACCGGTGGAGGGTTCCTGAAAGTGAGAAGGATGTCATATGGGAGAACATGTTCCCATAGTATTTCACTTTCCCACCAGACTATGACAAGGAGCAAGTTAAGAAAAAAGCAAAAGAAATCATGGGTATAGCCTTCAAGACTTTCAAGGGTAAATTGTACAAGAAATTTATCCTCGAGGGTAAAGAGCCAAATTGGGATGGTGGAGAGTATACCAAGCAGAGGGACTTCTGACAGAAATTCAAGCAATATAGGGAATCCGAGGAGTACTTAGAACTAAGCAGGAAGAATTAGGAGAACTCGCTTAAATATAGCTAATAGTCTAATTAATTAAATCATGAACATAAATCTTGTACAGTTTATTGTCCGATCTAACCGGGGAGCGTCAATGGGGGTTGCATCGCTAGCAGATGTGGCGCCATGGGAGGCGGTGGCGGCCGGGCGGCAAGGCGGCCACGACGACCTGTTGGAGGTGGGGAGGCGAGCAGAGAAGGAGAAGGGGGTGGGGAGGAGGTGGCGGATGCCGGCGGTAGCGATGGCGAATAGCCCTAGCGAGCGAGGCGGGCTGCCTGCATGGATTCCTCTTTACCACTAAACTTTTCTGCTCTTTCATGGATAATTAAATATGTTTATATATTTGATTCAAAAACAATATAATTTTATATATTTCTACTTATTTTGTACCACCCTAGGGAATCTACAAATTTGGCTAGCATTATTCCAAATTGCACTTTTATAGATGGTCAATATTCTAATATAATTATTGCTTCACTGCCAATGGATTAAATACAAAATATACATATCTTTAGTAACTAAGTAGAGATATAAGTTTTGATTTCCTCTCATGGAAACGCATGGGCATATTTGCTAGTTATTATAAAGTGTGAAGTGAACACTGAGTACACACACAGATACATCGTCTTTTACAGCATAATGCACGTGGCAAAGCATTTCTGATGAGTCATCAGATGCCTTGTTGATTATTATTATTTTATATATATTGTATGCAATATATGTGCGATGCTGATGGTAGTCTGACGATTGATTCCAGGTGCCCATTAGCCCATATGCCTTTTTGATCTGCTTCTGATGAGGAGTTCACTTGCGGTGGATCATCCGGTTGCGGAGCTCGACGACGTCGACCTCTTCGAACCGGTTCTCCGGGACCCAGCAGCCCGTCTTGGGGTCTCTCATCCAGAACTTGTCCTGCTTCTTCGTTGCCCTCGACGCATCCGCTACCGCGACGTCCGTTTTCGCCGTCGCCACTGCCGCAGCAGCAGAGGCTTGTTGAACAGTCACCGCCCTCGCGTAGACGCCGCTGTAGCTCCGCCGGCTTTGCATGCACGCACGCACGTCAAAATGTTAAATGCATGCATGTTAATATGTGTTATGTGTTATGTACTCAACACACACGTTAATGAACAAGTGCGATGCTAATTAATTCGCCAAAGAAAGAAAAATGATGTGTGATAGCTAACAAAGTTCAAAAAGGAAAAGAATATGAAATCGTATATATACATATATTTAGGACAGTGAAAAACTGAAGGAATTACCTGACGAGGCCGGACACGACGCTGCCTATCTTCGACGACATTGTCATAGTAATCCAGGAGACCTAGAAGATATATATGCAGCTAGTTTTTTCTATTTGTCTTGGTTGTGAGTTGTGAGCCAGGGGCGCTGTGGAAAGATGTGCATTTTATAACCTGTGAGGAAGTAGCACATGGAATACAGGAAGAGGCCGAATCTTTGCAAAAAGCTAGCTTTGGACAAGGGGAATTTAGTTATATTCCAGGTTCAGCTGGCCTAATTTCTGGTGGATCCCTAAAGCTATATGCCTGCCTGCAACATGCATGCTGATTACTAGCTCGACTGGGGTGGCCACATTTATAACTTTTTGTACGTATCACAAAAACGTGAACCTCAATCACTCATGCATGCCTTTCGGTCTGGCTGGCAGACCTCAGAAATATAATACTATTAAAAAGGTACGAGCATCTGAAAAAAAAACGGTCGACGATGCCAATATTTCTTTTTGATTCACATAAATTGATTCTGCCTATTTTTTCGCAATCGGACATATAGCCCGTTTTTCATTAAGCACAGGAATATGTTAGTACAAATAGAGTTACACGATACAGTTACGAGAAAGCCCTCATGCACAGATAACAAATCACCGAGCGAGTGGTAAGTGACTTCGAACAAAGCAAAGGAGCAAGAAAAAATTCTGCAAATTAACGTTTGTGAAGATCCTATACTATTCTTAGACGCACCACACACACATCAAAAAAGTGTATTGCCTGGCCCTATGCACACCTGGACCATGCCTAACTAAATTGCGCCTGCGATATTTCAGACGAATGATGCCACATGTAGATCGACTTTACGTAATTGGAAGAATGTGATACCTTCATATCGCCTCCTTCCCCTTTTCATATGGAGACTTGGAGGAGACACCTAGACAAGTCAATTAGGTTGAAATGCTAATTAAGGAGCATCGTCTACACACTTTTTTTTTGAAATTGTCACCCTTTATTAGCTCATTATAGAATTACAAACACCATCAGGTGGCGACTGGTGACAACAACCACACATGTCTACCTAGAGCCAGAGAAACCGAGCTCTTCGCTGGTCTATGTGCGTCCCTGTTAGAGGTCCTCGCTTCATGAACAATCTCAATATGAGGGAAACTCGCCTTCCTGGCCTTAGAGGATGTTTGGATGTCGGCCATCAAAAGCCACGCGCCCTATGTGCGGTATGTGGCGAGCCATAGAGTGTGGCATAAGAATTCCTCACCACAAAGTGTTGCGAGACTACAGAGACCAAAAAGTCCGTACCACCTGTGGCTGCAGACGTGGATTCCCATCCAAACAACGGAGAGAAAATTTATGGCACGCCGCAGCTGTGGCTTGGTAAGCTAAGGCAATCAACCAAACAACCTCTTAATCTCCTGAACTATTGGACCATACTACCCCATCCTCTCTCCTCGGATACACTTCACTGCATTAACACAGTCACTCTCGCCATCCTAATCTGAACTATTATGCAAACATGCAAACTATTTTAGAAACATATTTGATTATTCAAAAAAGAGTGAAATCCACTCAGGGTTCCATAGACCTAGCGCACATAGGCTATATACTCGCCGTGCAAGGGTATGATCCTGATCCACTATGAAATTGGGCCATGGATCAGATGTTGTTGTTTTTTTTCTTTTGAGAAAGGATCAGATGCATTGGTTCACCAACCATCGTAGAGGGGACCGAGCTGCAGCTCGGATGGTGAGCTCTCCCGGTGTGGAGGGCACCGGTCCTGAGTTCGAGCCATGCTCGGCTCAGTGATTTCTCACCGTGGGATTTATTCCTATTAAATGATCTTGCAGGTCCTTGACACTCGCGTGGCGCTACAATGGGAGTACGACGTGTCCGTTGTCTACGAGGCTCGTGTGGCTTCGGTGATTTTTAGAAGGACGTTTGAGGTGTATAGGTTGCACCTTCTAGGGGTGTGCGTGTGTGTGGTGGTGTGAGTGTGTTGTGTAGAGTACAGATACTACAACTTATACGCTAGGAGTCCAGGCTAAAAAAAACAACAATCGTAGACCTAATTCTAGCCTAGCCAATAATGTGGCCGCTTGTCCAGTCTACTTAGGCCCAACTTGGCCCTACCCTTAAGTGTCCGGGGCCACGCTGTGCCCTCTTGTTCTGCCATGTGTTGCTTCCCGAGCAATTAGCCCCTTATTTATTTTCTAAACTAATATATGACTGTGCGTTGTATGGATAACGAATTTGTATTCATATGTATAACGATGCACGAGTCTTATGGTTTAAACGAACATATTAACAAATTTTTATCCATGTCTATGATGATGCACATGGCTTGCGATTTAGACGAACATATTAAGAAATATACAAATTTGATTACGTAAAGCATATTTTATGATCTTTATGACCTATATTGTGTGGATTTGGTTTTTAGAAATCTAATACGGTTAGTTTCATTTTTTTAATTATTATTTGTGTGTTTTAATATTTTACATTTTCAAAAATTAATAAAAATCTAATAAAAACTTTTGCATTCGGAACTCTAAACTATTTCTAAATTCTCTAGGTTTTCCTTCTTCTACATGGACGTGGTAGACTAATGGGCCACGTTGGTACGTGTGGGCATGAAGCAAATCGCCACGCAAGAGACTCGTTTGTTACGTGCGGCCAGGAGGTCCCTCCGTTCGTCCCACGGCACGTCGTTCCTTCATTCATGCTCTCGCAGGAGGACGAGGGGGGTGCAGACAGCGGCCACACGCGCACGAGGCGAGCGGGGCGAGCGTTTGCAAGTGCCCGCCGCTGCTGGCACAGGCTGGAGCTAGGGCGTGCGCGGGCAGGCGAAGCGGAGCACACGACAAGCACTTCACAGAGCATGGCGAGCACCGCGGCCGCCATCAGCACGTACTGGCATCGCATCGCCCGCATCCATGGCAAGACGCATGCTCCCGCGTACGCTGGGAGTACGCATGGCAGCAGGTCGTAGTTGCCCGCCGCCGGCGACGCAGGCTGGAGCTAGGGCGCGCACGGATAGATTTGATTGATTTTTCTTTGTTGTATATATTTTTTCGAAAACATTTTTTTTCCGTATTTGTTTTTTTTTTGGAAATAGGGATGTGGAAGAGTTTGTTTCTGAAACGGTTTTTTTACCACGCAAGAGACTCGTCTGCTACGTGCGGCCAGGAGGTCCGTCCGTTTGACCCACGGCACGTCATTCCTTCGTTCCTGCTCTAGCAGGAGGGCGAGCAGGGTGCAGACGGTGGTCACACGCGCACGAGGCGAGCGGGGCGCAGAGGCGCGGGCACAGGCGCACGGGCATACGCTGACCGCCGGCACTAGCTGGAGCGACGGCGCGCGCGGCGGGCGAAGCGGAGCACACGGCTAGCACGTCGCAGCGTGGCGAGCACCGCGGCCGCCACCAGCATGTACTGGCATCACATCACCTGCGTCCCTGGCGAGACGCGCGCTCCCGCGTATGCTAGGACTACGCACGGCAACAGGTCGTAGTTGCCCACCGCCGCCGGCGTAGGCTGGAGCTAGGGCGCGCGCGGATAGATTTGATTGATGTTTTTTTGTCATATATATATTTTTTCAGAAACGTTTTTTTTTTTGCCGTGTTTGTTTTTTTCGGAACGGGGATGTGGAACCGTATATGTTCTTTTTCGAAAAGTTTTTTTTGCCGTATTTGATTTTTTTTAGGAAACAGGGACGTTGGTTTTTTCTACGGTTTTTTTTTTTTTTTTTGCCGTGGGGCGGAGTGGAGGCTGGGGCACAGACGATAGCTGTAGGGATTTTTTAGGTGTATATATAGATAGAAGATAAAAATAATAAAATTTGGATACTAATTTTTTATAATTAATTACTAATTCATACTAACTCCGAAAAATATGATTCTTGTATCAAGTTTTTAAAGTAAGCTCTAGATGTCGGATCTAAGTAACAAGTGCTTTTGGATTCCTTACATTAAGTAACAAGCCGCTGCTCCTAGGTTTGCCACCGCGGTCGAGGAGGTTATTTACAGACTCCTAGGCCGGTAGTCCAGGCGGAAGAGGATATGTTCGGCGGCGGCAACTGAGGACTCTGGCAGAGGCAAAGGCCATGATCCCAATAACGGTGGCTACCCTATGGGCGGCGAAGGTCTTGGAATCCGGCGAAGCGGAAGCGGATCCTATCGCTCGCGTCTGATCTGCTAGTTCTGATTGGACGGCGACGGATGAAGGTGGGCTAACCAATGACACGTGGCGTTCACCTCACTTGAAACGGATGAAGATGGCACCCCAACGGAGGTCTGCAGCGATGGCGCACTAGAGGCCGCAGCGACTCGATGACTTCCACTAGCTGAATCTTGCCCATTCATGAGAGGATGTCGAGGAGCAGGGGGTGTGCCGAGGTCGTAGTTTTTTCTCTTTAGGTTTTGTGTTCTCCTCTTTGTTGAGGTGAGTCTAAGTGCTCTTGTATTCTTTTGACTATGTATATCCTACGTGGATATAGAGGCTAGATTAATGAATCCATTGTCTAAAAAAAACATTCACTTGTATTGATTTTGCATATGTTATAGATAACCATATGCTTAATCCGTTATCATATTAAATACGACATAGTTTTTTCTAAAAAAGTTTTTTACGATATTGTTTGGAAAATGATTCTATATTTTTTTATAAAGTCTATTTGACCCTTGAACTATTAATGTAGTCCAATTTATCTCCTTCGCTGCTGACGTGAGGTCACATAGACGGTTCACATGTGTCCCGTCAGCTAGAACCGCTCAGAGTGGTAAATCAAACCGTTTCAAAAAGCTAGTGGAGCCGAAAAAACTGATTTTCCGGTTGAGAAAGGTAAATCGGACTCTCGTAGTAGTTGAGGATGTTAAATGGACTTTTTTTCATCGAAATCCAGGACGAGCAAACTTGTTCACCGGTGAATCGAGCGCGATGCCAGCTTCTGTATCTTTATTTCCTGCGAAATGAACGTCATCGCTGACGGTTGTTTGCGGGCATTTGCAGCATCCGTGCAAATAGCCAGTGGGCTTACCAGATCGGCGGCCCACTCCAAAACGCTAGCACAGGGTCTTCCTTGATGGGCTTGCCAACAAGGCCGTCGCTGCTTGTATACATACTCTGGTCGCTTGGCGTCGACCTCAGCTCTGACTGAACATCCTCGACCAAGGCGCCAATATGCCTGGCAAGTAGCATGGCAACTGATGAGGCAACAAACATTTGGTCGGCAATTCAATGGAGAAGAAGAGGAGAGGAACTGAGACGCTGAGGCAAGAGCGGTGCCTTTGGACTTTTTGGAGGCGTCTGGTGTCATGCCAACTTCACCGTCGTTACATGCCGCCGGTGCTTCGACGCCAAATTTGGCAGCATTTGACGTTTGGTGGCAGCAGAACCCAACCACCGAAACACAAAACAAAGGGAAAAAAATTGGATGGATAACATGTATCCACCGTGCTCCAGTGCATACCCGACTCTGGTGGAATTGGAAACCAGGGAGGCAGGGACCAATTTTTCATCTCGCATTCACGACACAGATCCTCAATAGAATGGCCAAGAGAGAGCAAAATTCTGAGGCAAACATCAATTCCAGCTGCAAAGTGAACCACAAGGATGCTACTCTTATTTCAGGAAAAAGGCACCAAGGCCACAATGATCATTATTCAACGAGCAACATCCCATCCAGGAAACTAAGGGAACACCACAACCCGACTGCACACACACCACCACCATCCCAGCATCCCTCTCAACCGACTCAACCCAAACTACTAACAATTCAGATCAGACTACTAAAACCAACACCCGGATCAATGATGGAACAAGACCTTGACAAGGTAACAACAATTCTTGAAGGGAAGAGCAGCAACGAACGCCCGCCGCCTAGGAAGAAAAGCAGACTCTTTTTTCGCCTCCGGGTCAGGGGAAGGGAAAAAAAACACGACTCCAGGTGCTCCCTTTCGCTCATCAGGTCTCCAGCCGCCGCGCGCGTCACTTGCTGGAGGGCTCTCCCTCCACGGCCAGCGGCACGGTGCTGGCCATGGTGCGGTACTTGAGCGCGTACAGCATCTCCAGGTACCGCCGGGTCTCGCGCCTCTCCAGGTTGGACACGTACTTCCAGAAACCGTACACGCCGGTCAGGGTCATCAGCCTCTCCGAGTACAGCTTCCAGGTGTATCTGCATCAAAACACAACACATCACAGCTGAACACATCAAAATGCTTGCCATGGAAAATTCCACATCGGGGCGTTCTATGCAAAGCTGCATACTTCTCCTCGATACGCTGGAGCCCGCCCAGGGAGATCTTGTTCCAGTGGCTCGAATCCGTCTGGCACTTCTCAAAGAAGTCCACGAGCAGGGCCGACGCCTTGTCGCCCTGGTACGGGTCAACGTGGAAGCCAGACACGCCGTGCACGATGATCTCAGCCGGACCACCGTAGGCGGTGGCGAACGTCGGCAGGCCGCAGGTCATGGCCTCAACCACCGTCAGCCCGAACGCCTCGTAGAAAGCAGGCTGTGCACACACAGGCACCACGATCAGAACAAATGAACGAATTCGCAACCAAAACATGAATCTTTCTGCGATGACAATGGTTGGTTACCTGCACGAAGGCGCCCTTGGTGTCGCAAATGTAGCGGTACAGTTCACCGTTGCGGACACGGTTCATCTGGGCGGAGATCCAGCGGATGTGCCCATTCAGGTTGTACTGCTCGATGTGGTCAAACATCTTCTTGAACTCGGCCTGCTCCTCTTTGTCCTTGGAAGGGTTGCCGTGGTCACCGCAGACAACCACGAGGTTCACCAGCTCCTGCAGGCGCTTGTTCCGGCCATACAGCTCCACCAGACCAGTCAAGTTCTTGACGCGGTCAAGACGAGCCATGGAGAAGATGATTGGCTTGTTCCTGTCGTTCAGCACAAACCTGCACAGGCATTTACAGATATACAGTCAGATAACCAGCGATAAATATGAATGTGTCACATACAGTACTGCTTGAGCAAGGTATGATCCGGCCGATTCTCACTTGTGCTCGGTGTTCTCGGTTTGGCTGTACAGGAGCTCCTCAATCTCTGGGTGGAGGGAGGTCAGCCTCTTGTGTGACTCCGTGTATGGGAAGTAGATGGACAAGTCCGCACCAGGAGACACAATGTTGAACTTAGGGTCAAACACATCAATACCATGGACAACACGGTACAGGCCAGGCATTGTGAATGCCATGTGTGACTCGTACTGGCCGACGGTGTCCTTGCTGAAAACCCAGAAAATGGTGTTAGATCATGGAAATTTTACAGGACGAGCAATACTGCTTCATTCGCAAAGCTTGCTTGTATGTATAAATGATAAATCACTTACTTTCCAGCAATCTCTTGGAAGGTACTTGTAATAATGAAGTCAGCATGGTTCATAGCAATCAAGTCAGTGGTGAACTGGCAAGAGAAGTGGTAGTGGTCCTCAAACTTCTTCCAGTAGAGGTCAGAGTTAGGGTACTTAGTTTTCTCAAGGGCGTGGGCAATGGTACACTGCATATAGCAAGGAAAAGGGCGACATTAGCAATGAGCAGGAGGTGGTAACAAAAAATATTTCCAATCGAAGCAGTTAAGAGCCCATACGTGAGTAACACCCATCTTGTGCGCAAGCAAACACGCAACAAGGTTTCCGTCACTGTAGTTTCCAATGATCAGGTCAGGATTGGCCTGAAGCTCTCCAGCAATCTCATGTGCCACATCCTACCAGCAATTCAAAAAAGGGTCAGCATGAATTTCATCTTTAACTAACAAATTAATAGTAGGGGCTAGTATTTGGTATTTACATCAGTGTAAGTCTCCAGGTATGGCCAGACTTCAAAACGCGAGATCCACTTGCGAACAATTCCATTTTCTGTTCTGAATGGCACACGAAGGATATGGCAGTGCTCAGTGCCAAGGACCTTCTCAAGACGCTGACCACAGGTGGTGCCAGTTGCATCAGGGAGCAACCTGGTAACCTGCGCAAAACCAAATAAGGCACATTATGGCACCAATTTAGCTGGTATATTTTCCTTTTATCATATTATAGGTATCGCACTTACAATAAGGATCTTTGGTGTGATGTCAAGACCACACTGCTTGATCCTCAGCAGCATTTCGTTCTCCATAGCACGTACTTGATCCAAAATGTAGACAACCTGCAAGTAAAAATACAGATTGATGAGAGCAAGTTCATTATTCTAACTGTGTATCTGTGTCTAAGTGGTTAAGGATTGTACCTGGCCTCCGGTGTCAGGGTAACCCAAGACATTAGCTTGAGCAAAGTAACCATGAGGGGAGAGGATAACAACATTGAACACCATGGGGATCGTTCCAAGGAATTTCTCCAGGGTAGACGGATCTGGGGCCTCGAGAAGGTCCAAGAGGAGGTGAATAGTCTCCTGCGCACGCTTAGCGCAGTCACCCCAGCCCTTCTCCAGACCAAGTTCCTGGAACCTGTTTTGTCCAATCAAGAGTATGTGTTAAATCACAAGAATACTAATAAATGCTTCAGTTGCTTTGATATATGAAAATGAATCAAGAAATATTCAGTACCTGTGGTGAAATTCAGAGTATGGGGTATCAGCTGGAAGGGTGGACAGATGCTCCTCAGCCTTCCTCAGAGCACCTTGCAGAGCACTGAGACTGCGGATTCTGTCGTTCAACATCATGGTCTGCAGAAACCATAGAAAACTTCACATTTCTAGCAAGTTCAAAGCCAATTTACAACTACCACAACAGGAATGTATGGATAAATAGTTTAAGGCATTCTTGTGGTTAAAAAATTTATATAATCGGTTTTTGTAATTATAACTGACAGATCTGAATTTTAGACAGATCAGCAACTCAGCATTTAGTGCTGAACTTATTGCTAAAAATGAAAAACACAAGAACACGACAATTTTACTGGCATGCATCACAGGTCAGCCTTAATGATACAAAATTTCCATTTTACTAATACTCTTTTGACAACCTCCAGATAATATCAGCAACATTTGAATTAATGAAACAAATAAAATAATGGCTCACCATCCCCTTGTAGTTGTGGGCGCGAAGGAAATTGAGCAAGGGGTACATGCTCTCCTTGTCATGGAAGAGCTTTGATGACAGGTGCCTGTTGAGGAACTGCACACCATTGCCAATGGACTTTGACAGAGAAGGACGAGGGAAGGAGGCATTGAATGGCTCAAAGTCCAGCTCAAGAACAAAGTTGTTGTTGGGGGCTGCAATATATACATCAAAAGTATTATAAACTGACATATATGAACAAAGCCTTTTCTTTAAATAAAATTAAGCATGGAGAGCTTATATCCCAAATTCCCAGTTTAATGCAAAATCATACCCTTCTTCCACAAGCTGTTCCTTGAACTGCAGGTACTCAGGGACTCTCAGCTCCTCAACAGCGAGCTCGCTGACGTTGACCCTCACATACTCCCAGACACCAGGCCTAGGGCGGATGGCAAGTGCAACCCATGGGGGGATAACAATTGCTTCCTGTAAGATAATAGAACCTAAATGATTAGATCAGGTGCACACACCAAAAAAAAAACAGTGCTGTCCAGTGAGATCTGAGTCTGATGCAAACCTGAGCTGCCCTCAGGACATCCTCAAAGGCACCATCCTTCAGCTTCTCGCGCTCAGCCTCAGGGATAGCACTGTTGTACTCTGCAATGATCTGGTGGGGCTGCAGCATACCCTTTCCAAGGTTTTTCAGCCTGCCCAAAACAATATCAAATAACATCAGGCCATGCCAGATCTACATGACTCATACAATTTCAAGAAATAGTATGGAACATATGCAACGTAAGTAGTATGGAACATATATAACGTAGCAAAGACGCACGACAACAAATTCATTCGAAAAATGAAAAACTCTGCTTCCTCTATTTTAACTAAATTTTTCAAAATCACCTTCATACCTATACATCAGATCTAGTCAGGTGCCTATGTATTTATGCTGAATAGAACATGTCAGAACTAAGCATAAACTGGTTAGCAAGCATTATCATTGACAAAACATTTAATAACAAGCTCTATTGGATAAGCTCAGGCTTCAGTCATTCTGTTCAGAAACATCGTATTGAATATAAAACTAATAACACACATGCAGCCAGATCTAATAGCAGTTCACAGTCAGAACTAGAAAACAGGGTGTATGTCATCAGTATTCAGTACTAGGTAGTTCGACAAAATCCTGGATGCTTTGAATATTCATCTTAGTAGGAAACACAGGAGCATTATGGGTACAGCATTCAATGATGGCCATATCATGCTAGATCTAACTATATATATGATGAAACTTGTCTTAAGAAATTGCATTCGCTCAAACAATACTGGTAACAAAATAAATATTAGCATGCAGATAGTAACTTGCAGAGGAAGCGGGGAAATCAGTTCAGACCTGGTGAAGACGGCGACAAGCTCATTGGGGTGGGCAGAGAGTGAATCGCCAATGCGCTCCCTGACGCTGTGGAGGCGGCTCAGGACACGGTCGCCAGCAGCTTCCCCCATTGCTATCCTCTTGTTGGGTCCTCAAGCCTGCACAGCGAAACAGAAACGGAAGCTTCAGTCAGCATTGAAAACTGAACTGATTTGACATATAAGCTGCAAATGTCATCCTAATCCCCCCCCCCCAGCATGTCATAACCCCAATTTCCAACAACCAGTCTTAGAGTCTTGCCACACCTTTGACACTTCACCAAGAAACTATTTGCAGGCAAGAAATCAACAGAACCTACTTCTGGAAGGGGAGAAACAGCAAGCAGGTGCAAGACCAAAAACCGACTCAAATCCTAGTCCTAGTTCTAGACTAGAAACAAGCAACAATCAATCAATACAACAAGAGGCATACATACAAGAATCGAATCGATGTAATGAAACGCTTAAGACCGAGGAATGGCGGAGGGTGGGAGGCGCCAATTTATACAGATCTGACGAGAGAACCCAACAAAACACACATCGATGGAAGCCATGAAGACAAGGCTGGCCGTATGGCACCAATGGCCTCCGGCTTCAAAAGCCGTTGAAACCAAAGCAGGCGAGGACGAAGAGTGACGCGGCAGGCTACTTGTAGTTCTAAGCACGAGATCAGCATGGGGACTTGGGGGTTCCTTGCAGGCAATCACAAGGTGATAGGATACACAGGAGTAATCACTCCTAGATGGTAATAAGACAGGATTAGCCTAAATTAACCATGGCCATTAGCACAAGAACCCAGAACCGTCAGGCCTGTCTCCGAGTCCCGAGACAGGGGCTACATGGCGAGGCAGAGGAATGGATAAACGCCCAGTTGGTTTCGACTTGCTCGGCTGACCACGCATGGATGAAAGTATGATTCCTGATTTGATGTGAGAGAAAAAATATTGTTCGTTTGTTTTATTGAAAAATACGGCTACTTCTCCGAGGAAAATCATCTCAAAAATAACTATGCCAAAAATATCGGTTAAAGAGGAACAACAAGCACCGGATCTAGCGTTCTGGTACAACTTGGGGTATGGGGAAAAAAATGAAACCTTAAACCCAGAGAGAGCAAGAGCATGATGGTCAGTAAAGCCCAGATCCATCCAGAAGCAGCAGGGTCCCTCCGCTCCACTAGATCTCCTCAAGTGGCAAGTTGACCCAGGTTGTTATTACTAAAGTTAAAACCCCAATAATTCTCCGGATCTCACGCACGCTAGTCGTTAGCGATCCCCTGGTGCAAGAGCCATAAAAAATTCATCTTTTTTTCGGCGGCTATCGGTGCAAGGAAAGCAACTGCATGCAGAGGCAGCACCTCCCCTGCAGGTTCAGAGAACCAGGGAAAAAATTCGGCATGACCTCCCCTGGATCATCATCGATCGATCAGGGGTCCGAGAAGCCGAGCGCAGCGTATAGTTCTAGTACTACATGCTACCGGCGGCACCGTCCGTCGCATTCGGACATGACCAGGAGGAGCATTAGTTACGGCGAGCACCGGCGGCATTTCGCCGGAGCAGAGCAGAGCACCGTCCACGCACGCATGAGCAGGACGACGCAGGAGGACGACAGGAGCAGAGGAAGAGGGAAAGAGCACCTCCATTGCAGGAGGGCCGATTGATTGCATTACCTTCCTCCGAGAGGGAGAAGAAGGAACCTCCACTCCAATCCAAAGAGGAGAGGAGAAGAACAACCTCCAAAGAGAAAACGCAACGCAGTGAACGCAAATCAAATGGACGGGGTGAACGGAAGTGGAATGGATTGGTGAGTTGAGCGGCAGCCCCGGGGCCCTTTTTATTGCAGGGCGAGGCTTGCCCCCGCCACCTTCGGACCTGTTCGCTTTTTGATTATAATCAGTCGTACTTTGTAGCTACGAGAATAATGTTTTTCTCTCGTAACAAATTAGTTCTATAAATTAACCATAACATTAATAAATCCTACGGAACAAGGTCGAAGTATTATTATTATTATAAAAAACTGGTAGTTGACGGATAAGGTCAGATTGTTTACTAGCAATTTTTTTGTTGGTAGCGCATTGGGTTAGATTGATCTCCACCAGTTGACCCAACGGCTAATTAGGCCCTTGATCCACGTTATGATCGGGGGCGTCCAACCGTTCTCCTACCTGATGGACCTCCGTCGCGCAGCGCTATAAAGAGGAAAGAGGGGCCGGGGCGTAAGGTACGAGGTTCACCGTAGCCATCAGCTCCCCACCGAGGTTTCTAGCCCTAGTCCGATCTAGAATAGCGCGCTATAAGCGACGGGAAGTCCACACCGCCTTCACCGTCGCCACTGGTCCGTGCCTACGCTGCTGCTATCGTCGATGACCTAGCGGGCGCATGCACGACTTTCCCTACACCGACACGTCACGGCCACCTTGTTGGCGGCGCCACGGCCGCGACTACACTCGACGAGGTACATCGACAAGTTCTTTGTCTAAGTTAAGTTTTCACCCGCTAGATCTACACCTAGAGATCCTATAAATACTATCAATGGTATCAGAGCCAAATTGGTGTGCGGATCTAGTTTGGGGTAGTTTAAGTTTTAGCATTTAGAAAAAGATGAATCGGAATGAACAAATCCATTCGAGCTAAACCATAACCCTAACCCTAACTCTAGAAGACGGACGGAGAGAATAGGGGCCTACCGAGGGGCTTACCTATCGCAGTTGTCATCGTCGGTGTCGCTCCAACGTTGTGTGGGAAGAGCACCCGAATCGCCGGCGCCGGTCGGTGACGCCACCACGCGACCTCCACATCGGGCTTGGGAGTCAAGGGCGTCGCCACAAGGTCGCTCGACGGCGGCACGCTCAGCCTCGGGTGAGCTAGCGCGCCGATGAGGGGCCCCGCGGCGATGCCACCACGCCTATCCGGTCGCCATGAGCAGTCGTATCCGTTCCCCTAGATCTACTCGCCATGGCTGTGGGGCTAAAACAGAAGAGAAGGGGAGCGAGAAAGAAGAAGAGGAAGGGTAGCCGGAACTGCTCCCACGGCGCTTTTCCTCACCGGCGCCGACGACTAATGTGACCACCGCCGTTGTCGCCTCTACGACGAAGAGAGAGGAAGGGAGGGTGAAAATGAGTTTAGGGTTTGGGGAGGAGGCAGGCGTCGGGGTTTTTGTTCCTCCGAGTCTCGCGCATGACCGTTGGATCACGATCGACGGCTTGCAACGCCCGGACCGAATATGGCCCAGACGGGAGAGAAGAATTCCGGCCTTGGCCAAAGTTGCGACTGGGACGCGAAAAACGCAACGCGAAACACGCTGAATAGGCCATATTTGGTTTCGAAGATGGGCGTGACGTCTTTGAACCCATGTGAGCGAAAGCAAGCAAGCGAGATGGACTGTAAATGGCTTTTTTTCTCGGTTGGGCCAAAATGAACATAAGAGCCTGTTTCAAGGTTTATTATTTTCAGAAGCAAATTTTGATGAATTTAGATTAGTTTTTTTTTATCTCTATTCAATTTTGAACCAATGGAATAAATTGTTTAGAGAGTAGATGAGTATAGTGAAATGCTTCTGAAAAGTAGATAAATTATATTTTTTATGTTTCTGCTGTAAAGTTATTGATTATTATATTCTCATTAAATTCGAATCAACAGGACGATTTAATTTGAAGAACAGTTACTTTTAGTAAATTATGATTATATTTATCCTCTAATTAAATTAGAACCAACGGAGAAATTTAAATTAAAGGAGTAGTCCGATTTATTTATGTTAAATTATGGTATTGTTATTTTCTGATCAACGTTGATGATAACAATATTATAATGAGTTTAAGGTTAAAGTTTAAATCTCTGATAAATTTTACACCAATATGGTTAATTTTTCAGAGAGTAGATAAAGACCAATAAATGCTCCTGAACTAATAGAATATATTTTATTATCATGTTTCACTGCAATGATGTTGATTATCTTCTAATTAAATTCGAACCAACGAGAGAATTTAATTTTGAAGAGTAATTATATATCTTTCAAGTAATTTATGAGTTTTATGCATTAATTCTATTTTCTGCCCAACGGTGATGTAGAATTGATATAGAAGCATCTTGTAAGTTTTATTTTTTAACTGACGAGATCACTCGGCTATATGTCAATGGGCTACAATGCTAAGGTATGTGAATGAAAAGGCTTGAGTCAAGCTAGTTCAGGACAATTTTTTGTTAGTTTACTAATTTTTTGATTAAATTAGAACTAACGGAAAGATTTAATTGAAAAATAAAGTATAAGTGAATATTTTAGTCATCATGACTAAATTTTTCATTACGGTAATTTATATATATATTTATTTCGCATGGGGAGAAGTTTGGCATAGTAATTATGCTAGTCAATCCTATATGGCGGGAGAAGTTTTGTGATGACTCGTGTGTTTTTTTATCCCGCATAGCAAGATAAGTTTGGGTATCTCTTATAGTATCCTAGTATTGACCATGGCACAAAAGAAATGCACCGTCATGATCAATACTAATCAAAGGACAAGAAAAAGATGTAAGCGTGACTTACAAAAGTATAGTTAATAAAAGACCTCATTAAGTTCTTGAAGTGGAATGGGGAAAGTGTACTCCTATACGGATCAAGAAATAACTTTATTTGCATAGCATAATCATGTGAATAAAGTAAGTCATAAGTGTCTCCTCGTTCATAGTTTTCTAAATAGTTCTCAAAATTATAGTAGTATAGTTCATGCCATATTTCAAGGGGGATAATTGTGAGATGAATTAAGAGTAAGAATTAAGATCAATTAAGAAACTACTCTTCATTAAGAATGAGATAAAGATGTTGATGAATATGTACTCTTCATTAAGAGTGAGATACAGATTTTGTAAGAAACTAAGTGAGATAAAGATTTTGATAAATGTGACCGTCGGTCATAACAATGATACCCCTAAGCAGAGAAACAACTAAATTCCTAGATTTTTTAAAGTTCTGAGAGAAAGATAGGGTAGTCACCATCAAAGATATTAAAGCGGTGCTTAAAGCGCCATATAAGGTTTTAATAGATTGAACCCAAATAAGAAATTGAAAGATACACTATCTTTATAAAAGATGGGACGATCTGG